ATATATATATATATCAGACATTTTGACAGAGCTGTAGCTGTGGCTGTTTCTTTTACATCTAGAAGTGTTCGCTTTGCATTTATGTGAGGGTTTTTTTATGTCTCTGTGTTTCTGAGCAACACGCTGCTGTTTGATTAGCTGGTTTCTGTGTGTTCATGTCCACTTCTGCACATTTCTTTTTTTCCTATCGTTAATTAGTCATTTGTTTCACCCTTTCCTCACTTTGTTTCTCTCCTCCAACATCATTTTTTATTAACTTTTTTGTTTTTTTTCTGTGTTTCTCAAAACCACAGAGGGCTCTGGAGGAACAGATGCAGTCGCACCGCGAGGCCCACAGCAAGCAGCTCGGCTGCCTCCGAGACGAGATCAACGAGAAACAGAAGATCATTGACGACTTAACTGAGTCAGTGCTTCTTCTTAATTTTTTTTATTTCTCTAATACCAAATAAATGCTTCTTTTCATTCAATGTAATCCAACAACACAAAGGGGAAAAAAGCAAAAGTATAAAGACATTCATTTACTCAGAAAAACAAATATTTTAACTAATTTAGACTAGTTTGTTGCAGACAATCACAAAATATTTTTAATAATATGCAACTAACTAAATGATCTGGGCTCATAAAAACAAATAATAATAGTAAGAAAATAAATGTGCGTTTTGAATTTGCTGCCAGCATAAAATAGAAATTTAAATAATCATGTTAACTGCTGTTTGGTTTAAGCACAAAAATCCCATTTTTTGTAGCTGTAAAGCAAATATTTTTACTATTTTTCACAGTTTTATAGATCATTAGTTAAGAGCCTCTAATTCTTTCAGTTTTATTGGAATGCATCAAAATGTTTTAGTGCCTGGGTTTGGACTGGGTCTGAAGGTATTAATCCACAGATGTTGGCTTTAAAAGCACACACTTTCTGTCACCATTCAATTTGATGCCATCAGTTGTTTTAAAGTATGTTGATGCCAGTGGTAAGCAGCGCTAATCCAAAAATTAGCTCTGCTATTTCTAAAGCGCTTATGAAAATATTTAGGTCCGCAACTTCAAAAGCGTTTATGCCATGGAAATACTAATGGAAACAAATTTTAAAGCACAAGTTCTTTTTGACACTTACTAGCTGGCAACAATTCATGTACAACAAATGCACAATGCTGCCAACTAGTGGTGTATGAACTTTTTTACAACTTAACTCTACAACTGCTGATTGCTGGGGATGTGATTTCCTGAAGCAGACCTTTAGCTCCTGGTGTAAAAATTAAAAAGTTGATGAGGATTGCTAGTTCGGCTGATTCTTTGTCTTTTTCTTTTGTTTGATGTAGATTTTTCATTAAAGAAGCATCAATAAAGTAATTTTAAAACTGTTTATTGGAAAACTGAAGCGATGCATTCTGGGTACATGACGGATTTTATTTGTGACGGGAAATGAAAGCACGGAGAACAGGAAACTATCTTCCCTTCAAAATAAGAGCTTGGATTTTAACGTTTTCCATGTAGTTGCTCCAGTTGACCACTAGATGTCAGTCTTCATCAGCATAACATCTTTAAATAATTTCTGCGTCTCTAACCCCGTTGCTTCAACCAATTACATCAAGTATTGAGCTCCAGCGTTTAAACATTTTTTTAAAAAGGAGCTCTGATTCTAAAGTAAAATAAATCAATACAAACAAAATTTCAGTATGGATTACAAACGTTAACTGTTTTTGCTATTGCCTTCCGGCTACGTAAGCAGACACAAAGCATTGTGGGAAATGAGAACCCTGACCAAAAGCAATAGTCAGCAATGATGTATATCTTTCCAATAAGTGTGTTTATCTGGTAGGGGTGCTGTTGGATAGATCACATGTTTTGTGATTCATTGACAGCCATACCTTCTGCTGTTCAAGATAATGATGACTGGTAGGTAATTAATTATTAGCTGTACTGCATTTTAATTTTAGAAAGCGCAAATCTGCTTATGAATTAAAAAAAAATTAGTAAGACCGCTAAAGCGCAAATGAAATATTTAGGTCCACAATTAGCGGATTTGCGCTTTAGCGGGCTGGTGCCCACCACTGGTTGATGCTATTAAATCCAAAACACATTGGTTTATATGTCCTTGTTGAACTGGTTGCATAATTCAGAAGAAAGATTTTTTTCTCCTTTCTTACTTACATTTAATGCCTACACAGTTCTAAACACAGCTGTAATTAAGGGCTCGGACATGTTCACATTAAAGATTCATCAGCTGGTCTTAGCATCTACATTTCAGAAAGTCTTAGATGTCAGCGGAGCTTCAAGAGAGGCTGAGATGAATGTCTGTGGGTGGTTGACATGGTGAGGAAACTGCAGCGTGGGAGGACTTTAGAGCTGAGCTGCTGCTGAACCTCAGCGTGAGGAGCCTCTGGCCTGGATCGGACTAAGTGAAATCCCCCACCCCCACCACCTCGTCCCTTTTGGTGTCTGTATGTGACGATGTAATGCATCAAACATGAATGTCTTATAGGAGACCACTGAGTAGACTGCAGACCCCCTCAAGGGACAGAAATGCATTTCCCAGCTGGCCTGGGAGAGCCTGTTAGCACCAAAAGAACAGCTGTGAAGAATTTTTGTACGAACGCACATTTGGGGCAGCACCGCTTATCCTGCTTGCACAGTTTGAATTGGATAAGCAGCTTGGAAATGGTTGGGTGGACGGCAGTGAGGTAGAACGCATGTTAAATAGAAGCAGAGATGCCCTCTAGATCTTTCTATTAAAAGAGAACCACTTGGTTTAGATTTTTTTTTGTCTAAGATGAAAAATATATAGAAACCCTTCAAACTATACGGAAGAACATTGCATTAATCTAATAAAAAATATTTGACTCCTGATCTCATAATTACGAGAAAAGATCTCATAATTATGAGATATTATCTCATAATTACGAGAAAATATCTCATACTTATGAGAAAATATCTCATAATTATGAGAAAATATCTCATAATTATGAGACAACATGACATAATTATGAGATATTCTCATAATTATGATATATTATCTCATAATTACGAGAAAATATCTCATAATTATGAGATAACACGACATAATTATGAGTTATTCTCATAATTATGATATATTATCTCATAATTACGAGATCTTATTTCATAATTACAAGATCAGGATCTCATAATTATGAGATCTTAATTATGAGATAAGATGTCATAATTATGAGATCAGGATCTCATAATTATGAGATATTATCTCATAATTATGTGATATTATCTCATAATTACGAGAAAAGATCTCATAATTATGAGAAAAGATGTCATAATTAGCTACTTATAGCCGTAGCATCCCGTACTGCAGGAAAAGAGCGACTTCCATTATGTCAGAGTGAGCTTTTTGCTTGAACGACCGCAAGGAAGATACCTGCATAATGTCGACATACTATCATCCATACAGCATCATATCGTCTCTGTGATGTTTTGTTCGGACTGTATTGAATCGGACTCTTATTTTGAAATATCCGTTTGCTGAAACCAGAAGCACCACTAACAGCTAAATGACGGTGTTATGTTTGTGCCAAAGCTGCCGTAGCTGAATTGAACAGAATCTAACTGGGTGCAGGTAGATTGATTTATAAACCCACATTAATAGATACAGCACCATCCACATTAAGTAAACTCAACATTTCCCAATACCTAAGAGGAAATAAAAGCATATAAAATGTGATAGTGCCGTCATTGTTTACTTTTCCTGTGATGTAAATCAGCTGACTCTCTTTAACTTATCTATTAATTATGACATCTTATCTCGTAATTATGAGATCCTGATCTCGTAATTATTACATCTTATCTCATAATTATGGGATAAGATCTTGTAATTATGAGATCTTTTCTCGTAATTATGAGATAAGATCTCGTAATTATGAGATCTTTTCTCATAATTATGAGATAAGAAGTCCTAAATTTTTTTATTTTGTGAATGCAATGCTCTTCCATAAAACTACACTTAAAACTCAGGAAGCACATGAGCACCTTCAGGCCAACCAAGTAGTCCTGTTATCTGCCAAAATGCTTGTCTGGCTAAAAACTCTCTGATGGGAATTAAGAAGAGGAAGAGAAAAATACCCTGCATCCAGAATAAGGCTTCATCATTTTTGCGGCACACTTCTGAGCTGGAGAAAGATACCTCCCATTTAAGACATGTCATTTATTTGCTAATGTTATGCAAAGATGACCGTCTGGCTGAAGTAAATAAAGAATAAAGAAATGCAACGTTCTTTTAAACAAATACAAAAATTACTTTATGGTAAAACGATGCCGTGCCACTGAGGGGAAATCAAAGGTTATTTTCAGATTTCATATCCAGCCTCTACTCTTCTAAAACTCTCCAGAGATAACGGATTTAGTTACTCCCCTAAATTTCAGTATCTCTGAAGCTTAAATGCTCCTTCCTTCGGCATCAGATCCCATCGTTGCCTCCAGTTGGTTCAAATTGCAGTAGCTGGACTGATTACTGAGACTGAGAGGCTTGAAGATATTTCCTCCGTGCTTGCCTCAGATTCTGTATTGATTTTAAAATCCTATTTTACTCTCTGGAAGTCGTAAAAAGGCCTCGCTCCTAAATACGTTGCAGACTTATTGGCATTTTACAGACTCTGCTGACCACTGGGTGTCACAGACGATGCTCCGCTAATTGTTCCCCGGTCACAGTGTGGGACAGAGGGAGATAGGGCCTTCTTTATCAGAGTCCAGTTGACTCGGACATTAGATATTCACTCCACCAAACTCGCTTTTTTTGGAAAGCACCTTTTGACTTTGAAAGAAAAGCCATTTATTTTTATTCTTGTCTATGACGGAACTAGTTTCTGCTTATTTTTTTTTCAGCTGTAACCAGAAGCAGCAGTTGGAGTTGGAACAACTGCACGGTGACTTTGACCGTCTCAGAAGTCAGGAGCATCAGAAGAGCCGGCAGCTGGAGGAACTGACGTGAGTCTGTTCTTTACCGGCCTGGCCGTCTTTCAAACACCTCGCCATATGGAGCGCTGGAGGCGAGCTGCCTCTTCAAATTCATGTCTTTCTTTTCTTTTGTTTTTCCTCCGTCATTTATCCTCCTTTACTATTTTTATTATCCACTCACTCTTCAGTTATCAGTCCTTTTACAGATTGAGACTATTTTTTGGCCAGTTTCCTTTCGTGGTCTGTTTCTTCCTGTCCAATCCTTTTAGCGTCTCCATTAGACGTTCTTTTAATAAGGTACCAGCTGGCTGCTGAAGGCCTCAATCTACACTGACCTTTGCAGCATATTGCATCAGACAGCAGATGGGTAAAAAACCCCCAACGAGTGGGGCAGCCAGTTTATGCTGGCTTTGTTCTCCGGTCATGAATTATTCCAGGATGATTGAGGTAATCATCTGCATAAGAAGTTCAGTTCTCAATCTTTCCATCTGCCCATCAATAGGTTTCTCTGTGAGCGGCATGAGCAGTCGAAGCAGGACCTCAAAGGGCTGGAGGAGACGGTTGTAAGTCGTTATTTACCGTCACGATGTATCCAGCTCCCCAGGAGCTAATGATCCACTAAATAGTTCTTTAATTATTTAACTCCTCCTGTAGGGTCGCGAGCTCCACACCCTGCACAACCTCCGCAAGCTTTTCGTTCAAGACCTCACCATTCGAGTTAGAAATGTAAGCCAAACAAGACTGAACCTTCTAAAGGGCTCGACACACGGGCAGCGACAAACTACAGCGATTCACGGCTGTCATCGCAGCCAGGGTGAAACCCGACACACGCGATGCGATAGCGATTGCAGCGTTGGGAATCGCGCTCTCAGATCGCTTGTCTTCACAAAATTTGATTGATTCTTGACTCTGAAGGTGGGTGTACATTACGGACATGTAAACTAAACAAATCTTGCGATACTGATGATATTGAAAAACAAACGCACATCAAGATACAATTTTATGAGGAAAAAC